CGAGAAGACAAAAGGTTCTGGACTGAATGGTAGCAAGCATTACCTGAGTTCAATCGCCTCTTAATTTCCTCCTGAATCAGGTTTAGATCTGTTATCGTTGTTCCCAAATATCTGAACTGTGCCACATTTTCAAAACATCTGTTTCCTATCTTTATGTCATGATTTTGCCCTGCATTTTGGTGACGAGACGGCAACATATACTTAGTTTTCTCTGTGTTTGCTTCTAGACCAACCTCTTTACTTGCGTCAATTAAAGTTTGTGTGTTTTTCTTTATGGTATCTACATTATCACCCAGTAGATTCACATCATCGGCGTAAACCAACAGCTGATGTGTCCCGTTTAGTTTCAGTCGCACCTGGTTTCCCTGGACCTTCCTAATTGCATATTCTAAGGCAAAATTGAAAAGGAGTGGCGATAAAGCATCTCCTTGTTTTAGACTATTTTGAATAGGAAATTTATCAAACAAATGTTTGCACTAAAATATACATGTTTTAGTATAGACACGTAAATTTGTTATAAAAGTTCTCTGGTTAATAAATTGTAGCAGAACTTTTAACAGTGGTTATTGTCACTGATAGGCCACGCGTTCATGTCGCCATCTGTGGCAATCCGAGTCGATCCGAGTTACGAGTTTCGGCAGTTCTTGCGCCGGGCTTGCTAGCTGACGCTGTTCGTACCGACGATCATGCGCACAACCGCGTCGCTGCCGCCGGTTGAGTTTACAGCTGATTCTCTTCTAGCCGTTACCCCCCACCCCCTGTTCGTGCTGTTAGGATGCTTGGTTGCGAGCGGAGCAGGACTTGCGCTGGGCCCCAGTAGCCACCCGATTGTGGTGCCTACGAATTTACAGAGTATTCTCAGCTGGGGAAGTAGACTGGGAGGAGGGTTAGCTCTGATTGGCTGTGATGAAGGTTCGGAAAGCACGAGGCCTTATTTCTGGTTATATAAGGTTATCAACTCCATCCAGTGCGACTGATAATGTTTTTTAATATTTCATCCTTGACATGTTTCGGTGTGAGAGACCATCTTCAGAAGGATATATCAATACATACATACATAAATACATAGAATATCATCACAATGCCATGAATATAAACTCTGTTCCCTTAACAACTACAGCGCTGTGCATGAATACATTAAAATATATATAAATTATTGTAATTAATTTATTTACAAGTGTGGTTTTAAAAGACTTTGTTAAAATTAGAACCAATTTGGTTCTTCTCCTTCACACTGCACAGCGCTGTAGTTGTTAAAGGACCAACATTTTATATTCATGGCATTGTGATGATGTTGTATGTACGTATTGATACTGACCAATCACAGTGTAATAGTAGTTTCCGCTTGTATTGATATGTCCTTCTGAAGATGGTCTCAGACCGAAACATGTCAAGGATGAAAGAGTAAAAAGATAAACATTTATAAGTCACAGTGGACGCAGTTGATAACCTTTATAATGCTTCTAGTGTGAGGGACCGGGATGAACCAAATCAAAAGTATTTCCGGTTCTTAGCACGCGTTGCGCGCGCAGTCCGAAAGTGCCTCTGGTCGCTACGCACACCAACTTTTTACATTTTCAGTTATTCGTTACACTAGTTAAATTTATCACTTTATTTTCTCGTTGCCCTAGTTACACTTTAATATTATTATACACATTACACACTTTCTATTAATTTGAAGGTTAAACTACTTATCCGAAACCTGCACTCGGTTAGTGTAAGTGTATTTAGGCTTATCAACAAAACGGTCAGGAAGATAAGAATTTGGAATTCGCGCGGGACGCAAGCTCGCGTCTCTGGCCGTTGAGACCTGAAAGCAGGCTTCTTGATCCTGGATCAAGGACCATTTCAGGATCTGCAGCACTCAGAAAATTTACGTTCTCCTAAACCTCTCCGTTCACTTAGTTTAAAGCCTAGGCGGGTTCCAAAATGTACCTCTCCCAATCAACTGCTGCTGCTGAGCGAATTTAGACCTTAAATTCAAAACGGCGTTTTTTACAGCAATAATAGCTAATTTATGGGTCTGTAGAACGCCTCTTTAAAAAGTTATGTTCGCTCAGAACTGTCATATCTCGTGTTCTGAATGGTACACAAATTCTCTTGGAACTTACAGTGTTCCACCATAGGGGTGTGCACATCCTGTGTGCTAACAGCAAGAATGGGCTTACAGTGCCTTCTCATTTCAATAATGTGATCATCTTCCCTGTCTCCCGTTATAACACAAAAATTACATTGTTAATTATTTTCAGTTAAGGTGTCATTAATTATAATGAGCGGTTACGGAATAATATTATACCGCGCAATTTGGAGAACGTACCGGTGTATATATGTATATATATATTTGTTGCTAAAATTAACATTTCTGAAATAATATTACCGGATAAAGCAATACCCTGTTATTTTCAAACTGAAATGTTTTAGCATAAGAACTTATACCGTAAATTTTTAAAAAAGATCCGCTGAGAAGTACTAGGGTAGGCCTTATGGGCGAGGGCACACCAAGGAAACTGGCAACCGCAACTTCCGAGAAACGTCACCGATTTCAAGCAGGCAACTGGTTTCCAGCTTAGCAGGCGCAGACTGAGTAAACTTACGTTTGATTAATGGCTCACGTCATCTCAAGTGGTTGTGTTTACCGGCCAATTTCGCGCGTTCTTTTCCTGCAGTGTCAGATGGTAATATTTGTCCTGTCATAGTATGGTGGTGGCGCGTACACATTACTCGTGCTCGTGCTCGTGTGACTCGCTATGTTCGCGAGTAATGTTGACGAAATGACAAGTCACGAGACAAGCAAATTTTAAATTTTTAATTTAAAAACTGTAGCCAATAAATTAAAATACGACTACAGCCTATACACACTACGAGTAAATATACGGATCCTCACGCGCCGAAGCCTGGCGAGCAACTGAAGTAGTGTGGACGAAGATTTACGAGCACAAGTAAAAGCCAGACGAGTCTCCTGACGAGCACGAGTAATGTGGACGCGCCTTCAGAAGGGAAGACATGAGACAAGGAAACATTGGGTGCACCCGTTCTTGCGCGACAATTTAAACTCGGGTGCTTATATTCTTTTTTTTTTTTTTTAAGAACTTAACCAGTACCCAGAACTGCTGAAATCACTTTACAAAATGAACATTGAAAGTTTTTCTATTAGTGGATCTTGTAGGACCTCAAATTCGAAGAAACGATACAAAATTTCGTACAGATGTGTCGGCAGAAGAAAGACTGCTGATACTCTGAGGTAAGGAAAGTTTATCTATTTACTGCTATATATAGTATATTATGGAGATGTCTAAACAAATACCACGCCACTGCTAGGCATTGTTTTTACATTATCTGTTACAATCAGTTTGTATCACCCGTGCCATTTGTGTGGGAGTCCACATTTCCTGATTTCCTCTGTTCCGTTTGCAAATATGTTAACACTCACTGGAGCTATCATGTAGTTCTTGAGATGTTTCACTCAGTCTGTGATAGACTGCTGGTCACTTCCTGTATCTTCTAATATCTCATCCATCAGATTTAGAACTCCAATTTTAAACGTACGTTTCTGCTTAGAAGTCATTGATTTCATATCTGGGAGCAGACTGTGCAGAAAGCCTGAGTCTGGATCCGCAGTTCTCCACTGCGTCTCTTGCTTCACGTAGTCCATGAAGCACGTATCAGCCGGATCCAAACCTGTTGGCCGACGTCGTTTGCTAAGTAACGGCTGCTTAGAATCGTCTCGGTTGCTCTGATGATAAGCTTGTTGTACCACGGCAGGACTCTGCGATGGTGTGATACTTTCCGGCAAGTTTTCATCCGACGTTTCGTTCATCTGAGTGTCTTCTTCGTTTTCTCCCGATAATGCAGTGTCTTCTTTACTGTGCGACGCTGCCAAATTGCTTTCCTGGTGGCTACTTTTCGTTATGTGTGGAATCATGAACTGCATTGCGTCATGAAGATAGTATGGACGCTTTTTAGCAGACGACCCAGGTGTCTTATCATGCAAATGGCGGACGAATACTGTTCTTATGTGTTTCCATCTGTCTTTACAGGCTGCGACTGAAAAGAAGATAAACGGGTCTCAAACATTCAGTGTGAAACAATTCAGACGATTTAAAGCGAATTACACTTAAAGCACTAACTGTTTCACTAATCCAAGTTTTATAATTCATTTCTTATTGCACGAATTTACAATAAAGAAAAGTATGAACGTTGCGCATAGGCAACTGCAACTGGTTGTTGTTCTTGTTTTGAGGTGTTTGGCAGAGGGCAGCAGTGTCGCTGCATTTCAGTTTATGGGGGGCAAGGGCACAATTGCAGACACTGTATCTGCAATATGGACGACATTAAACACCTGTTCATGCCACCACCAAACGTATCAAAATGGAAACGCATTGCAGAAAGATGTCTTGATTTTTGGAACTTGCCGAACTGCAGTTTTTACTATAGGGTTCTGACGATGGTGTATAACACACAGAGATATTGGGTTTTCGAACTTTGTCCATCGTCCTGGTTTTTAAGATAACTAAGAAAAACTAAGAAATCCAGTGATTGAGGCTAGCTCTTTCTAAGGGACCCAACACAATAGGTGTTTTCCCTCACCTGAGGACGGAAACAGATCCAGTTTCCGAAATGTCGTGTTTTTCTTAGTTATCTTAAAACCAGGACGACGGATAAAGTCCGAAAACCCAATACCTCTGTGCATAGTTTCATTAGATGAGGATCAAGTCCGCAAAACCAGATCACTATACTACAACTGCAAGAGCTATGTTTCGGTCATGCAACTGGCAGGTGCAGACGCCGAAGCCCTATTTACTACAGTCCATGCCGGAGATATTGGCAAGAACAGAGATGGGTCTGTGTTTAGGGCCTCTACTCTCGGAGAGCTGCTGCACATCCCATTTCCAACTTCCCTACCACCGGGTGACAGCGGCGAAGCATTCCCCTACTACTACGTAGCAGATGAAGTATTTCAATTGAAAATAAGTTTAATGAGACCTTACCGTACAAAAGTGCTGACTAACAAATTACGTATATTTAATTACAGCCTCTCTCGTGCCCGAAAATGTATAGAATGTGCATTTTGTATACTAAATGCAAATTTCAAGATATTTGAGGGACCAATATGCTGCAAAGAACAAACTGTGAGTTCAATCCTGAAAGCATTTGTTACCCTCCACAATTTCATGAGAACACAGCAAGGGCAGTTTTGCGGAGGAGCTGAAAATCATGCAGTAAATCAGTCAAGTCATCATATTTTAAATGATGATGATGGAAGGCAGAGATCGTCGAAGGCACAGCGCCTACGAAATCAGCTGGCGGATTGTTTCTTAACGCCAGCAACAGCAATTCCCTCTCAGTGGAGTTATATTAATTGAATTCAGCTGATGATTGTAAAGGAAGAGGGCTAACTCAGCTGCTACCTTGTATCACAAAGCACGGGTCATATTGCAGTAGTTGTTTGCAATGCTTTGGCAGGCATATTCTGTATTTGTATCCTATTATAAGTTTCTATTATAAAAATATATAAACATACATACCAGACTCCTTCATCTCATGTGAAATTCTTTCCCAAGCCAAATCTACTTTGTCCCGTCTACCATAGTTTGGGTGGCATTTGTCATATATGCCAGGCTCCTGTTCAATTAACTGCACAAAAACAAAATTATCAACTTTATCAGCCTTTCGTGCCATATGAACAAGTATACGAATCACAGAAACACGTTAGAACAGCTGACGCTAGAACACAACGCTGCAACGCAATTGTGAGAAGACTGGCTTGCGCAGTTGCCGAGTTTCTCGGTCTTCCGGCAGTTGCGTTGCCGTTTCCTCGACTTGCGCAGCTCAGTTCTGTTCCATGTGTTCAACGCACTCTGATAACAGTTCTCGGAAATTACGTTGCCAGTGTCCTTGGTTTGCCCGCGCCCTAGTGGAGCTTCCTGCAAATTATTGATCCGTGCTGGTTGTAGAGTGTGACGCGGCAGACGTTAGAAATGCTTTCATGTTATGCTTGCATTCCTGCCCGCTCATAAACATTCGCGCACTGTAGTTCCTTAAAGCTTTATTTCCAGTTTTTCTCAGGGAGCACTCGGCTTTGCGCTCTCCAGTAACGATAAAATGGGTGCTAAGTTTGAGAATTCTCGTGATGACAAAACAACTGTAGCACTTGCTATAAGTGGGTAAGTTCAGCAGTAATTTGTTAGGCATCTACGGCAGGACAAAATGGGCAGAGCCTCCGAATCTTCCACCTGAGCGGTTCACTGATTGACGGTAAGCTGGCTCTACGAGGAGTCACAGTGTTTCAGCTTCATGTCGGACATGCTGCACGCTCGCCACAGTTACGTGATTCACAATTTTACGTCGATAAATTTCCTACGCTTTTTTTTTCATTTGTCCGACACATTTTTTTTTCGATGACTCTTCCAGCCCATTCAGGGCCCTGGCCTCTTATTCAGTTTCGTAATCGTTTTTACACAAACGGTAGGACTTCTTGGGCGTGTGATGAGCCCATCGCAAGGCCTCTACTTAAACACAGGACAACACAAACACAGAGTAAACGCATACACACACGAAACATCCATGTTCAAACCCACGATACCAGCGTCCAAGCGAGCGAAGACATTTCATGCCTTAGACGGCGCAACTACTGTTCTCGGCGTCCGCCACGTCTAAAGACAAAAAGGTAAGAGTTAATACCCGTGCTTAATTTACGCACTATGCCATGAAGGTATATGAGGGAGTGGAGGTATAGCTCCATCATTCTTGAACTTGTAACTAGACCGAGATGAGCGTACAGCTTCACGTCCTCGCCGCTTTATGAACGGGGAAACAGTCCCCAGTACGCACTGGACAGGGGGTTGAGTACATGGGCCCCAGAGCCGGTCCAGACGCTATGGATAAGACAAAAATTTCTTCCCTTGCTGAGAATCGAATCCTGATCATCCAGGTGTTAGCCTAGACGCTACACAGACTGCGGTCAATTGATATATGAACTGCATATGAGATGCTGGGAGGAATAAAACCATTTCAGAAGACTTGAATTTAGAAGTAGAGCGACCGGTGTTGTGATGACGCTGTATTAACAACATGCTATTTTTAAACACTCATGAGATGAGGCCATGAGAATGACTGACAGGGGCTGTAGCACTGTTTTATTTTAAGGCGGAGTTGTTCTGAGCAGTGGCACACAAACTTTGAAGCCTTAAATTTCAGGGGGAATAATTGCTCTGACAATTATGCTCGTCTTTCGACAAATTTACTTATATTTACGGTCTATATATTGATATATTGGACAGTTTCGTGTGCTTCTGAAACCTTACATTCTCTTCACACGCTCGATGATGGACAAGTCCAGAAGTTGAGCAACAAATAACTTCACAAAAATCTGCAGAATTTAGAGTGGGACAGGCGCGAAGTTTTTGTGGGGCAAAGTAGCAAATACGTACATTCGGCCTGCGATGTAGTCATTACCTCATAACTGCATTATTTATCTTAATACTCATCACAATAACGAAATCAGAAGGCCGTCACACTACGTTGCGTTCAAGTTCTAAGGTCTCCGATTTTTTTTTTCTCACACAATAATCATACAAAAAATTTGAAACTTCTGTCACTTTTCAACGTAATCTCCCTGCAGCCGTACACATTTTTCACAACGTCGACGCCATGATTCCATGGCCGCTGCGAACGCTTCTGTAGGAGTCTGTTTTGACCACTGGAAAATTGCTGATGCAATAGCGGATTGAAAAACGGCATCCATGTCTCATCCATTGTCACAGTTGATGAAAAGAAAGTCCCATTCATGCCTTCATCATTGCCATGCGTGCAGCCTTGTGGTCATCCGCCAAAATTCGTGGAACCCACCTGGAGGACACTTTCCGCATTCGCAGGTCTTCATGCAGGATTTTGTGCACAGATCCCACGGAAATGCCAACTTTGGGGGCGATGTTTTCCACACTCAATCGGCGATCCTCCAAAACAACTTTCTCAACTCGCTCGACCATGTTGTCAGACCGGCTGGTGCGAGGCCGAGATTGTTTTGGTTCGTTGTCACACGACGTTCGGCCTTCTTTGAACTGTCGCGCCCACGAACGCACATTTTTCACATTCATGACACCATCACCACATGTCTCACTCAACTGGCGATGAATTTCAATGGGTGTCGCACCACGCAAGTGGAGAAAACGAATGATTACTCGCTGTTCTTGTAACGAAAACGTCGCCATTTTAAGTATCAAAAACACTCCTCACACTCGCCGCTACCACTAGAGTTCTGTGTGCCGTAGAGTTCTGCCATCTCTGTCACGCATTCACAAAGAGTGCACACGTATTTTAAACAAAACCGCATATGCCTATCTGCTCCCAGTCCTGAGAAAAAACATCGGAGACCTTAGAACTTGAACGCCCCTCGTAATACCTGATTTTGTCATTGGAGCCAGTCCTATGCACCATTCACGGGTTCAATCCCAGGTTAGGTCATGTGGGATTTGTGGTGGATATTCTCCGAAAACTTCGATTTCCCTTGTCAATTCTCGTTCCGCCGACTGCTCCGTATTATTGCCCTGTCATTAACACTGGATAGGCACGATTCTGACAGCGTCGGTATTTTCTTTTATTGCTAGTGGGGTGGGATCAAGTCCCTTGTACTGCGGCCACTCCTGGCCTATTGTACCAAGCGTCGGTATGTAACAATCAAGGAAACAAACACAGCCCTTCCCGCGAAGATCTCTCCTAATATGTTCCTCGCTTCTTCTTTTCGGTCTTCGAAACGGATGTTTCTAATAGGTTTTTCACCGACATATTGGATTCCTAACTCCATGGAGCTGAAGCTGCCAGTTGCTCAGCTAGTGAGAATTTCCTGAAATTGTATGGATCCCTAAGGTTCATTATCGCGCTGACAACAGACCTGCACTGGTCCCTATCCCGACCCAGATCAATCCAGTCCATACCATACCACCACATCCTATTTCCATTTTAATATTATCGTTCCATCTACGTCTAGGACTTGTTAGTGGCCTCTTTCCTTCTGGCTTTCCCACCAATATCCTATATGCATTCCTCTTCGCCCCCATTCTTGCTACATGCCCTGCCCACCTAATCCTCCTTGACTTTATCCTTCTAATTATACTTGGTGAAGAGTACAAGTTATGAAGCTCCTCATTATGCAGTTTTCTCCAATCTCCTGTCTCTTCATCGCTCTTCGGTCCAGATATTCTCCTCAGAACACCCTGTTCTCACTGTTCTTTCCATAATATCAGAGACCAAGTTTCATACCCATACAAAGCCACAGGCAATTTACGAGTAGACAGCAGAGGAGAAGACAAGAGACTGTGATCAGAATGGTAGCAGCTGCCTACATTACGAGGTGCTGAGACTGCTTGCTCTCCAGTGTCACGCCTCTCTACTCTTCTGTGCGCTGTAATCCTTCGTTTTGGGGAGCAGGCTGGGAGATACTGGCGTATTCGTTTTGCAATCTTCTATTTTCCCTTCCTTTTCTACTTCTTAATCACCCTTTCCTCTTCCTTCTCTTCTACTCTGTGGGTTATTTAGCAATAAAATTACAACGCCAGCAGAAGTCGCAGCTGTAGTGTCCTGACATGTACAGTGTCTGCATGGGCTGTGCTATTGCTTTCGCAGCTAAAGACTGTAGCTGTGGTTCTGACTTTGTGCAGCCGAGTTTTAAGATTTAAACCTCGCTGATTTTTTTAACTATGTACGTCAAATGGTCAGATAAGGACGAATTGGCCTTGCTAACGACTCACAAGACACGAAGGTCACACAACGATTCGTCCGCTTGCCGAAGCAGAAATGAGGAATCGTGGTTTGTTTACATCGGTCGGTTTAATAAGGCGCAGTTGAAGTATAAATGCTGTGGGAAGTGTAAATCCATTTCAGATTTCCCGAGACTCGTATATCTCAAGCTGCCAGTTCGCACTAAGTTCGCCGACATGTGGCGGTCGCTCGGTCGGTACAGTTCGCTTGCGGACTAAAACCATGGAGTTTGTTTTTGCTTGTCATTTGTTTGCTGTTAGTTACTACAATGTGAACTAACGGCCATACAACGTTGAAAATACCGGTTCTCGTCCTGTCACCGAAGCTAAGCAACAATGGGCGTGGTTAGTACTTGGATGGGTGACCGCTTGGGAACAGCACATGCTGCTGGCACTTCATTTTTGGCCGTGCCATAGCTCAAGCGGTTAGTCGCTGGCTTCCCACCCCGGCGGCCCGGTTCGATCCCGGGTTTGGTCAAGTGGGATTTGTGGTGGACAAAGTGGCGCTGGAGCAGGTTTTTTTCCGAGTACTTCGGTTTCCCCTGCCAATCTTCATTCCACCAATTGCTCCACAATCACCCTCACCTATCATCTGGGGCTGGTACAATAGGCCAGAAGTGGCCGCAGTACAAGGGACTTAGTCCCACCCCACTAGCAATAAAGAAAATAATACTATATTCTGATATAAGGGCCGTTTCTCTAACAATAGATGAATAGCCGTAAACGTTCTCACTGCAACGAATAAAGGCAACAATATAAGAACTGCCGTTTCCATGCGACGGCCGGTAAACATCCCACTTAAGAACGTGACAAAAATATAGGAGAAACTGTGTTTTCTATGCGGTCTGCGCCAAGTAAACACACGGCACATTGCTGGGCAACGAAGCTGTAAACACGAATCCTTAACAAAAGAAGACCGTGTTTTCTTTGGAGTCCTTGCAGAGAAGTTATGTTGAAGACAGTAGCCGCTACGAGTCAATTTTTTTTATTGCTAGTGGGGGTGGGACTAAGTCCCTTACACTGCGTCCACTTCTGGCCTATTGTACCAGCCACAGATGATAAGTGAGGGTGATTGTGGAGCAGTTGGTGGAATGAAGATTGGCAGAGGAAACCGAAGTACTCGGAGAAAACCTGCCCCAGCGCCACTT